AACAAAACCTTGGAAAGTGTTCATTTTTAAAGTCATAATTCACTGAATATATTATATTTAACACCTGTATATGAGAGGTAACAAGAACACATAATCATAAGGTTGCTGGGAATAAATCTAGGATGTATATACTAAATCCCCACTTCTAGCCTCCCACATGACAGATACAAATGTGTTCTGAATGCTCTATTCAAGATTTATGTAGTCCCATTTCATGATTTGTAAGAATCACATGTTCTTTTCCATAATGCACGTAGTGAGTTTTTACTTTTTAGAACATAATGAGGATATTTAATTGACAAACAACAAAAGTCTTGGTAGTGGTGGAGATATAGCTCAGTTGGTAGAGAGCTTTCCTTCCATGCACAAAACTAGGTTCAATCCCGAGCACTGCATAACTAGGCGTAGTGGAGCACACTTGTAATCACCTGGGACACAGGGACAAGAAGATCATGAGGTCATGTTTATGTGTATAACAAGATTAAGGCCAATCTGAGCTACATAAGCACTGTTTCTTTAAAAAACTGTGTTTACATACGTGTGTGTGCACGCAATTACTTGGTTGGTGAGCTACATATTTATTTAGTTGTCTATACAGCCATTGGACAAAGCAAAGGGAAAACTTAGCTTTGATATTCGCTAGCTGTCAGTTAATGATATTATCAATGAAAAAAAGGTATATTTAGTGAACCATTGTGAAGCAGATACAGTGGGTGGTACTGTAAGTGAATCAGTATAGTGTGTAAAACCGTGTCTTTCACAGCGTGGATTTAAAGTGCAGTTGACAGTACAGTCGAACAGAATCATTCTTGGAGATCCCAGCCTGATCAGGGGACTGCACTTGGCCATGTGGTGGTTTATTTTTATTTGAATTTTCTAAAGTCCTTTGAAAATTTCTGTGTGCATGTGCATAGGTCTAAAGCTGGGCTTAGGGAAGGGTTAGGGGACACCCGGCTCTGCTGGGTGTGGTAGAGCATACCTGTGGTCCCAGCACTTGGGAGGAGGCAGGAGGTAAAGAGCACATAAACAGGTCTAGGGTGATAGCTCAGTGGTTAAGGGCACTGGCTGCTCTTTCAGAGGACCTGAGTTTAGTTTCCAGCACCCACATGGTGATTCACAACCATATCTAACTCAGCTCCAGGATCTGACACCTTCTGACTTCCACAGGCACCAGGCATGCACATGGGGATCTACGCAGGCAAAACACTCCTATAAATAAAGTCAAATGAATAAATATAAATACAAAAATTATTTTTAAAAATGAGTAATTAAGGAAATACCGTGTATTAATTACTCACGGTAGAGTTAAAGTCTTCCTTGGAAGTTCCTAAATGGAGATTAGCTCAAACAAATGAGCCACCCTTTGTGCCATTCATGGAGACGTGTGGTGTCTTCCATAGCTATTTTCAGATAGAAAAGCTTGTATTCTTCAGGCTCTGCTAGCCCATTCTACCCCTACATGACCTTACTCTTTAAAAGTGATGTGTTCCCGCTTGTTAAGGATCATAACCTGATTTTTATATTCGGCACATAATTTGATCTTAATACTTTTAAAGTAACATAACTAAGAATGAGATGCTATTTCAGTGTTCTAATATGCTGTAACTTCTAAATTGAGTAGATTACAGGAGGTACCCTGTCATGTCAAGATACCATCTTAATAACAGAAAACCTCCCTGAAAGGTAGCTTAATAGGCTTTGGAAACAGTTGCAGTTTATTGAATGTGAATCTGGTTCATCTCTGGAGAGTAAAAGGCAGTGTGGTATTGAGGAGTGAAGGGAGGATAAGGAATGATTCTCTCACTGGTTAATTAATAACATTGCACTTGAAACTGGTTAGTCTAAGTGCTACAGACATCTGTCCAGGGACTTGTGGCACAGAAGAAATGGTAATTGTATTTATCTCAGATGAGGACTTCCAGAGAGAGAGTAACAGAGGAGGACAGGTGGGCACTTGGGGATTTTTGTTGAAGTGGAGGCAGAATGACTGATGGAGAATGGAGGATAGGTGTCAGTTGTGAAACAGGGGTCATAAAGTTGCGTTCTCTCATGGGAAGTTGTGGAGTAAGTTGGAACAGCACGTGTCCAAAGAAAGAAATCTATAGCCAGCTCAGTGCCTCACAGGGCCAAGGCACTTTCTGCCAAGCCGGACTACCTGAGTTCCGTCTTTGTGGCACACATGGTAGAAAGAGAGTCACCGACCTCCACATGCATGCCCACACACATATACACACGTGAACTCACAAAATAAAATGTGAAAACATGAAATGGAAGGATTAGTGACTTGAGGGTAATGGAATGTGGGAGAAGAATGTGACTAGCATTGAGGGACAGGAGAAAGGAGGTTTTGATGTTCTCCCCCACCCACATCCCCAATCCAAAAGAAGGACCAGTCTTTTTTAAAGATTGATTCATTTATTGAGACAGGGTTTCACTGTGTAGCTGTGGCTGGCCTGGAACTTGCTATGTACACTAGGCTAGCCTTGGACTCACAGAGATTCACCTGCCTCCACCCAGCAACTTCTGAGATTAAAGACATATGCCACCACGCCTGGCAGATTTATTTTATTTTAAATTTAGGTATGTGTGCCTGTGGGTGGTGTATGCACATGAGTACAGCTGCCCGAGGAAGCCGGACGAAGGTGTCAGCTCATTGTAGCCGGAGTTACAGGCAGTTGCACATGGCCCACCGCGGGTGCCAGGAACTGAACCTGACGCTCCATCTTCTGTAAGAGCAGCTGTGCTCTTAACTGTCTTCTCTCTAGCTCCAGATTGTTTTCCCGAGACTAGGTCTCAGTAGTCCATCTCCTGATTCTGCAGTATGCATCAAATACTGAGACTGCACACCCAGCTTCATTTACTATACCTGTCTATACGTCTGTCTATCTGCTTGTCTGCCTGTCTCTGTGTGTGTGTGTATGTCTGTACCTGTGTGCACAGGCAGGTGTGTGGAGAGGCCAGAGGCCAGTCTTGGGCATGTTCCTCAGGAGCTGTTTACCTTAGTTTTTTTTTTTCTTAACTGCATTTAAACATATTTGCTTATTTATTTATGTTTATTTATTTATTATATATTCGCACATGCACATCTATCAAAGATAACTTGTGGGAATTGGTTCTCTTTCCACTCTGTGGGTCTTGGGGATATCAGGCATGATGCAGTCAGTAATATTCTTAGCATCCAACTATAAATTACTTTTATTCCTGCTCTCTTTATAATGTGATCACAATGCAAATATGCTTTTAATAGTAACACACACACATACATACATACATATATGTGGATCTATATGTGTGTGAAAGTGAAGACAAAGTTGTGTAAGAGGGTGCTGATGCCATTCTTGGCATGGTAGAAAATATCAGTGGTTGTAGGAGGAAGGTTCTTGAGTTTGGTATGGGATAGAGCTGGCTGACTCTATAAACTTGTGATGGTGGGAGAGTTTCTCATGGTGAGGAATGGAGCCACGGCAGAGTACCTGGGGAGTTAGGGGAAAGGTGGACCAGCATTTGAATGACCAGCCTGGGCTATGTGACAACCTGTGTCAAAAATAATTAAATTTCATATATGCTTATTTACTGATTAAATACATATTAATGCTACATGCTGATGTCATATAGACAGGGCTGTGAATACGTTGATACAAAGACACTTCTCTTCAGAAGTGCTGCCCTGCAGATTTCTTGTTTGCGGGGTGTTGTGTTGCCGTGCTGGGATTCACACTGGGAGGCCTTGCTGCATTAAGCAAGTGTGCTGGCGGCCACTGCCCCTCCAGCATGTGTTGCTGTCTCAATTTCTACTTTTACTCCTTATCTTTTTTAAGTTGAAGATTTTTGTTGTTTTCTTTTGTATTTTTGAGACAGGGTTTCTCTGTATAGTCCTGGCTGTCTTAGAACTCACTTTGAACATCAAGCTGTCCTCGAACTCAGAGACCCACCTGCCTCCTCCTCCTGAGTGCTGGGAGATCTTATTAAAGATACAGGCTTTGGTGTGAGGGTTGGGAGAAAAGAGATGCTGAGGAGAAAGTTAGACATGCTCAGAAACTGAGTATAAGCTCCTCAGAGCTGAGTCCAGTCACTCCTCTGAGGTGGATCCCTAAAGCTCACTGGCTAGCCAGCCAAGTTGAGTTAGTAAGGTCCAGCTTCACTGAGAGAACCTGTCTTTAAAGTACAGTTGGGAGTGTAAGAGGAACATAGCCAATGTAGACCTCTTCTGTCTGTACACGTGTGAGCACGTGCGCACGTGTGTGCGCGTACACACATACAAGCACACACATTTTCAAGTGACTGAATGAAGTTAATTTATTTTCATTTTCATTTTCTATGGCATTTCTTGTTGGGTTGGCAAGCAGGTCCTGTATGCCATGTCAAGGTAGAGAAATGAAGGATAACTAGAGAAGATGTTCTTTCTAATTTATGTGCAGTGCTGGGAATCAACCCGGGGGCTTTGTACATGCTAGGCAGGTACTCTGTCACCTACGCTACATTCTGACAGTGGAGGAAATCCTGTTAGACATTTTCCATGTGCTCTGTGTTTTCCTGTATGTGGACCTTTACAAAAAGCCAGCCATGTGAGGTGTGATTATATATTTAGTTAGAATATCTTCAGCTGTCTCCAACTGCCTGTTGACAGATAATGACACACTGATAAGTTATTTTTCCTTTTGTATGTTTTGTTTTTTCTGAGACAGGGTCTAGCACAGCCCAAGCTGGTCTCAAACTTGCTATATAGCCGAAGCTGCCCTTGAAACCCTGTTCTTCCTGCTTCTGCTGTCTGTATATGTAAAATGTCTTCCTTACTGCCTTGATTTCTTTAGTCCCATTCCTCCATGGAAACAGAGCACTGGCGTTTTGACCACCATTTGATGTTGTAGGCACTCCATGGACTAAGGGAAAACCAGATGCATCCACCGCGGTGTAGTGAGCGCTCGCCAGTATCTGTACGCAAGTGTTGACCGTGGCTCTTCAGTGTGTAGTTGCCTGACTGTTTTCTTCTCCTGTCACAGGTCCATGTCAGAGCAGGTCTTTTCCACGGAACTGAGCTCCTGTGCAAAACCGTCGTAAGCTCAGAGATATCAGGAAAAAATGACCATGTTTGGAATGAACAGCTGGAATTTGATATTAATATTTGTGACTTACCGAGAATGGCTCGATTATGTTTTGCTGTTTATGCAGTTTTGGATAAAGTAAAAACGAAGAAATCAACAAAAACCATTAATCCCTCTAAATATCAGACCATCAGGAAAGCTGGGAAAGTGGTAATGATAACTTCAGAAAACTGTTTGTATGGTGGGACATTTTAAGGCTCTGAAAAAAAATTGAGTAACAGACATTAAATTATTTTGTGTGACTAAAAACTAGTTTCAAGACGCTGATAAATTTCTATGTCCAAGTCATTTTTATGTTTTTTTTTCTCAAATTTATTTGAAGAGATTTCATGATATAGCCGTCCAGTTACAGATGTGCAAAACCTAGGGTGGCCCAGAACTCCCCTTGTAGCTCAGGCTGGCCTTTAACCCACTTTGATGCTTCTGCCTCAGCCTCTGCATGATGGGACTAGCAGGTATGAACCACTAGTGAAGACATTTTTAAAACAGCTGGTGTGCACCTTAATTAAAATTCCAAGTTTTTAATATATATATGTATACATATATATATATGTATATATATGTATACACACACACACACACACACACACATGGGTATATTTATTTATGTATTTTAAAATCAAGGTTTATTTTAGGCATGGTGGTGCACACCTGTAACCCCAGCACTCAGGGAGGCAGAGGCAGGCTGATCTCTGTGAGTTCGAGGCCAGCCTGATCTACAGAGTGAGTCCACGACAGCAAAGGCTACATAGAGAAACCCTGTCTCGAAAAACGAAACAAAAATTGAGGAAGATCGTAGATTGTACCTCACTCAGCATACCTGATGTGACTTTAAGACACAAATGCATAACTGAGAATCAGTTTTGGAGTGAAATAAGAATATTTGTACTAAATGTGAAAAATCAAGCCTTTAGGCTAGTTCTAGATAAACTCAGCTACTTTGTTGCTGTCATCTTGCTGTAGACAAACTGTTAACTTTCAGAATTCCTTAGATTTTGAAATCCTAGCTAAGGATGTTAGAACTGTTGTTTTGAACGTGCATGCATATGCATGTGTATACACACACACACACACACACACACACATACACACATACTCAAAGGCATACACACATATGTATGTGTTACATCTTTTTTTTTTTTATTTTGTAGACAGGGTGTTTTTGTGCAGTTCAGACAGCTCTGAAAGTCACTATGTAGCCTAGGTTGGCCTTGAACTCTGTTCCTTTGCCTCTGCCAGCTGAATAAAGTGTGTGCTGCCAGAGTTGTGTTAGAATCAGCCATGGTTTCTCGTGATTGTTTTTCAGTGTAGGGATTGCCAGGGCCTCCTGTGTGCCCGAGGTTACCTAGCTTGAGACTATCTACTGTAGCAGAGGGTGGCCCCGCCCTTCTCGTCTTCCTGTCCTGTCATCCTTGCCTGCATAGTGAGTTTGAGACCTGCCTGGTATACAACGCAACACTGAAGAGGGAAAGGAAGAGCTGGGAACTTCCCCTGCTTATTATGATGTGTCCTTCTAAAAATACATTTTAATGTCTCAAACATCATAGAAGGGCTGATTCCTTTATGAGTTTTCCTGCCTTGATAATAGAATTTTCAAAGGTTTGAAAGTATGTATGTACATATATGTATAGATACATATAGAATGTTAATTTATAAATAATATATATGTACACACATATTTATTTCTATATGTTTATGTATATTTAACTAGGCTGGCCTTAGGCAGGCTCTTTAGCTGAGGATGACCTTGAACTCCTAATTCCCCTGCTTTTATTTCCTAAAGTCTGGCATTACAGGTGTGTGCCACTCTACCAGTTTTATGCAGTGTTGGGAATCCAACTGAAGGCCTCCTGTAAGATAGACAAATACTCTAAATACTAACCCTTCAAAAAAACATCTTTGACATGCTGTTTAAATGTCTTCATAAGAGTCCTAACTACTTTTTTGTTCTTGATTTTAAGATAAGGTCTTACTGTGTCACTAGCTATGCTGGGGGGGGATTAAAGGCTTGTGCCACTGTGCCCAGCTTTGTAGACCAAGCTGGCCTTGAACTCACCTGCCTCTGCTTCCCCGAGTGCTGGGGTTACAGGTGTGTGCCACTGCGCCTGGCTTCTGCCCAGCTTTTTAAAAACAAACGTATTTTTCTGTAGAACAGGCTGGTCCATAACTTGCTGTGTGTAGCCCAGGCTGACCCCACATTCATAGCGGTCCTCGTTCCTCAGCTTCCTGAGCTGGGATTGCAGGTGTGGGTCAACACCTATCACACAAGTGTCTCCCTCTTAGCAGTGTAAGCAGTTCCTGCAGTGTCCTCAGGAGGACCTACTCATATTCATCATTTTAAAACTCCTCAGTTTCAAGAATTGAAAAAGAAAGTTTGCTGTTCTGCAGGCATACCATTCTATTATGGAACACTAATTGGCTGTAGAACTTTCTTAGCAGTTTTAAAGATTGAAATGGCTCCCATCCATGTCTTGTTTTCTTTTTGCATGCATTTTTGGAAATTACCTAGAACTTCAGACATTCCTAGTGCTAACACTGATACAGGGGCATGGGTTTTGTCACGCCTTCCAGTCCAGTCTGGGTTTATTTACGTAGTGATGCTTTTTTCAACAGCACTATCCTGTAGCATGGGTAAATACGATGGTTTTTGACTTCAAAGGACAGCTGAGGTCCGGAGACGTAATACTGCACAGCTGGTCTTCATTTCCTGGTAAGATTTACTACTTTCTGTTTGTTTGTTTGTTGTTGTTGTTTTTGTTATTTTTTTCTTTTTTCTTTGTTATTTTGTTACAGGGTTGATTTTTTGTTGTTGTTGTTTGTTTTGTTTTGTTTGTTACAGGGTTTCTCTGTGTAGCCCTGGTTGACCTGGAACTCACTTTGTAGACCAGGCTGGTCTCTAACTTAGAGCGCCACCACCACCTGGCCAGGATGTATATTCTAAGGGCGGCCCCTAGTGCTGGAGAGCAGCTAGTGTTTCACTGCTGTACTAGTCAGTGTTTCTCTGACTCCACGTTGTTTTCTAGTTCATTAAACAAACTGTTATTTACTCTTTTTTTTTTTTGTAGTTTTAATTTGATTTTTTTTTTTTTTTAAGAGAGACAATCTCTCTTATGTGGCTGATCTGGAACTCACTATTTTGATCAGTCTGGCCTTGAACTCACCAGCCTCTGCCTCCTGAACCCTGGGAATTAAAGGCCTGTGCCACCATGCCCAGATGTCATTTATTCTAAAATTGGCATACATGGAGTATTTTGCTGCAGACATGAAGTTCTTGGGTGTTTTTTTTTTTTTTTTTTTTTTTTTAATGTCAGTGAGTGTGTTGTTTTAAACATTTACTTTTGTAGGTTTTTAAGAGAACCTTTCACATAACAGCATCTTCTTTATTGCTCATAGTTGTCCTGACTGGTGAATGAGTACTCGGCAGAGATGGAAAATAGTAAAAGCTCTCCAGTTAGATTTAGCTTGATGTTCAAGAGAAATGAAGTCCTTCTCATGTGTTCAGGCTTACTGATACAGTTTGCTAAACTTGCTTAGGTGACACAACCTTTAGGATATTTTCATGAAAGAAAACCCGTTCCAACCTTTTGTTCTTTAAAGTTTAGTTCCAAAAACATTTTTTTAAGACTCCAGATAATTTGTGTTGTAGATGAGCTGGAAGAAATGCTGAATCCCATGGGTACTGTACAGACGAACCCGTATGCTGAGAACGCAACTGCCTTGCATATTAAGTTTCCAGAGAATAAAAAGCAGCCTTATTATTACCCTCCCTTTGATAAGGTAAGCGCATTAAGGGCCACGATGCATGAAGGACTTGAATTATTCCTGGATCTGGCTCAGTCTGTCTAGCTCTCTCCCAGAATTCCATGTGCACTGACAACGTGATCCAGTGGAAGGCCTTACAGCAATTGGTTTGGGCTTATTGCTGACCAAGTGAAACATGGTGTCTCTGGAGTTCAGGGGCCGTGTTTGTAAAGAGAGATTTAATTGTTCGGGGTTATTTTCTGATGTAAAGAGTCTCTGAGGTGTATTCCTACATAATCTGAATGTGTAATGTGTTCTGTGAAACAGGCCTGACATGTTGATTCAGAGCTAAAGATACAATGATAGAAGAGATGCTTCATGCTGAGTATAAGTACTATCAGGACTTTGAGGGAAGTGGCTTTTGAGACTGTGCCCTACTCTAACCGGCATGATCTAGAACTCACTGTGTAGTCCACACGTGAGCTTGAATTTGTGGCAGTTTTCCTGCCTCCACCTTCTGAGATTGGGACTACCAAGTGTGAGGCATCATGCCTGCCAGTGGCTTCAGTAGAGTCTGTGGCCAGGATTTCTATTTCAAAATACACACTTAATATAGAGAGTGTATGTGTATGAAATAAGATTATTTGGTGGTGGCCGAAAGCAGGGCTGAAATGACTTACATGCCAAAAAAGCTGAGCTGTCATATATTTCTCTCCCTCCACCTGCTGGAAGATGAACCCAGGTCTTCGAGGCTTGACCTTAACATTCCCAGCCCTTTCCCAATGTTCTTTCTATTTTATTTTGTCTGTAATTTTATGTGTATGAGTATTTTCCCTGTGCATATGAATGTGGGTGCTTGGTCAGAAGCAGATCAGAAGAGGGCATCAGACCCCCTGAAACTGGCATTACACAGGGTTGTGAGTTACCACGTTAGTCCTGGGAACTAAACATGGCTCCTGTTTAAGAGCAACATGTACTCCTAACCACTTAGCCATCTCTCCAGCCTCCTCTAATATGTTTTGATTTTCAGGTTTGACATTCTTTCCAATTTTAGGAATTATTAGTATTGATTTTAATACAAAAATCTTTGAATACATCCCCAAATCTTATACAAGAAATTTCTTCTTTTTCTAAATATTTATTTATTATGTATACAATATTCTGTCTGAGTGAACACCTACACACCAGAAGAGAGCACCAGATCTCATTATAGATGGTTGTGAGCTGCCATGTGGTTCCTGGGAATTGAACTCTGAACATTTGGAGGAGCAGCCAGTGCTTTTAACCTCTGAACTGTCTCTCCAGCCCCAGAATAGGAGATTTGTTTGTTTGTTCTTGTTTTTGTTTTTTCAAGACCGAGTTTCTCTGTGTAGCCTTGTCTACCCTAGACTCACTTGCTTTATAGACCAGGCTGGCTTGGAACTCACAGAGAACCACCTGTCTTTGCCTCCCAGAGTGCTGGAATTACAGACGTGTGCCACCACACCAGCCATCACAAGAAATTTCTTGGTCCAAATGAGAAAAGGCTACCTTCAAAGTACTAAGCAATACCTAAGCCAATCCTCTAAATTAGTTCATTGTAATGCAGAGCACCACCAGACTTGCATAAAAGAGACTTGTGTGTCCGTGTCAGAGCCGTGGGAAGAGGTGCTGATATTGGACTGTAGAGCCTCACACCACATTTAACCCCAGAGATGGTTTTTAAATTTTAAATTTGCTAATTTAATTTATGTAATTCATTGTTGCTTTGTTCATTTGTATTTTATGAATACTATCCACTTAAGAGCCAACTTATCATTACAAGTTCTTTAAAATGTTTTTCTAGCTGGGCAGTGGTGGCAAAGGCCTTTAATCCCAGGATTTGGGAGGCAGAGGCAGGCAGATCTCTGTGAGTTCAGGGCCAGCCTGGTCTACAGAGCTAGTTCCAGGACAGCATAGTGAAACCTTCTCTCAGAAAACTGGGGAAGAAATTTTTTTTCTCTCCCTGTGCCTCACACCTGTAATCCCAGCACTGGAGACACTGAGGCAGGAGTGTTGTAAGTTCCAGGTTGGCCTGGGCTAAATAAAGTGGCTTTTTCTTAAAAACGTGAAATATAAAAAGAGCCATGGATGTAGCTCAGTGGTAGAGTATGTTCCCAGTATGTGCAGGGTCATGGGTTCAAGCACCAGTGCTGTAATGAATTTAAGAGTAAGATTAAAATACTATTCTGACTGGTAATTTAAAACTAAATTAAAAGTTGTGCCTCTTAAAACAACTCCTGAGTAGGTTAAGACCTTTCCATTTAAAACATCCTGAGGAGGGAAGAAACTACATTTGATTCCTCTGTTACATTGCTGTAGACCCTGACACTGTCCTTAGATCACAATCCATTCCTAAGCCATTGTTTATGCTTTGACTATGTTTCATGGTCTTCTGTAGTGACTGTTATCAGCTATGAGGTGTGTTCAGTAACCAGTTATAGTTTCTTGGGGATCAAATTAGATGCCTCTTAAAGAATTTTCAAATCTAACATATTATGCAATATTTTTGCATTTATCTAATTTTAGAGAAGCTAGATTTCTTTGAATATATAGTTTCACTATTGCTGTTGTCATCCTTAACTAGTCATCTCGGTTCTTGCTGCAGCCTCCTCAGTACTGAGGTTGTAGGCAAATGCCACCATGTGGAGATTATTTAGGTGTTTTGTTTTGTTTTGTTTTGGTTCTTTTTTCCTGGGATAAGGTGTGGTTCATGGGGAATTGACCCTTGGGGCTCATGCACGCTGGGCAATTGCTACTGTATTTTAATCTTATTTTTAAATTCATTTACTTTACAGGGCTGGCACTTGAACCCAGAACCCTGCACATTCTGGGCTAGCACTCTGCTGAGCTGCATCCCTCAGATCTCTTTTGGGCAAGCTCCATTGTAGAGCTAGAGCTATATTCCTGACCCTCCGACCCCCCCCCCCCCTTTTTTTTTTTTTTTTTTCCCTCCCCCCCCCCCCCCCCCCCCCCATTTTTTTTTTTTTTAGTCACCATGAACCTATGTCTAACCTCCATTTAAATTATTTTGTGTGTCAAAGTCCTGCTATGTTGCCTGCCAGGCTTTGATCTGTCCTTCTGTTCAGCAAGTTACTTACCATGACCACAAGAAAAGTCACAAATGTAAAACACAAAAGCCCCCAAGGCCCATGTTGTTACACAGTACTGTAACTGTCATCACTTACCTTTTGTTTTACAAGTCAGTTTTATGACTTGCTTAGTAGAGAATGTACCCTCACTTGGTCTTAGAGACCAGGCTGGGAATCACCACACTGAATACCGAGCTCAGCCACAAGTGTGGCTGAGGGGAACACAGGCTGGGGGAACTTCTGAGTCTTCCTGTCTTCCCACATCGGTCAGCCCTGGTCTTTTCAAGAACAGGAGCTCTGTGTAAACCGAGGGAACTGAAACTGGTTTTCTGTTCTCACTATGTCATCACTTCTGCATCATCTTGTGGCAGTTGTGGGGGTCAACACAAGTGCTAGGAAGTGCTCTACCGCCGAGCTACACCTCCACAAGCCTCCACTTGCAATTTTACACTCTGCGTTTACTTCATCTCCCTCTCTCCCTGCCCATCCTCCACCTCACCTCACCACATCTCTACCGTGTAGCCCAGACTGGGCTCACACTTGCTATTCCTCCCTCAGCTCCCTGATGGAGAGTCGAGACGCGCACTGCCACTCCTCGGTAGATGGTGGGGCTTTTGTTGTTGTGGGTCTCCCACGACCGTGCACATGCTAGGCAAATGCTTCACCCTGGACCCACATGCACCCCAGCCCTTAATAGCTGTTGTGGAAAACCAAATGTAATGGTAATAAAAATGATTACTTATTCTAATTTCGTAGCTCTCGTTAAAATTTTTTAAGATTGTTTTTATTTTATGTGTGCAGTGTTTTGCCTATAAATATATATTTGTGTACCGTATGCCTGAAGTCCCCCGGGAGGCCAAAAGTTCAGCTGCCCAGAAACTGTGGTTACAGATGATTGTGAGCAACCATGGTGGTTCTGGGAACCAAATCCAGGTCTTCTGGAAAAGCAGCGAGTACTCTGAACCACTGAGCCATTGCCCCAGTCCTGGCCTTCGTAACTCTCACTTACTTTAGAAACACTCTGGATGAGCCCTTGCTCTGCACTCTCTTCAGTGACACCATTGTTCCCTGTTGTCAGGGGTTTGAAGCACTTTGGGACACACCTCTGTTGCTATTTTATTTTTTTTAGTTTGTTTCCACTTACAAAGTTTAGGAGAACCAAGCATGTATGGTCTCTTGTAATCCAAGTGCAAGCATCGCACTAATTATTAGCATTGAAAATTTTACAAATATTAGGGCCGAGATTTAAGTTGTATTTTTTTTTTTTTTAACAGATCATCGAGAAGGCAGCTGAGATTGCCAGCGGAGACAGTGCTAATGTGTCAGTAAGTATCGCACTTCACCTGGCCCTTCTCACTGCAGAGCTATAGCAGCCTGTGAGAGCAGATGGGTGCACACAGCCAGCGCCGGCTGAATGTGGCTCAGTGTGGGTGGCTCGTGTGTAAGCCCTTTTCTGCATAAATTCGGGGTACTGGCCCGTAGAAGATGCAAGTGTACCCCTCAGATTTCCAGTGCTATTTTAGTATCATTTAGTTAACTGAGGAGGCCATATTCTTTCAAGTAGCAAAGCTGGTATATCACAGACTAGCTTTACCGTGGGGGACCTGCGTTGTATTTTCTCCTTGGGAACTCTGCCAAGTTGAAAATGTCATTTTTGTTTTATGTTTTACTATTTTTGTTCCAAACTTCCTAACTTTACTCTATTATAGACAACAGAAGTATGGATGTAAAACTAAAGGCCATATAGTTGATTTTGATGCTATTGTTATTATTATTACTGTTACTATTATTTTTGCGACAAGAGTTTCTCTGTGTAGCCCTGGCTGTTCTGAAATTCATACTGTAGACCAGGGTAGCTTCGAACTCACAGAGGTCCACCTGCCTCTGCCTCCCAAGCGCTGGGATCAAAGGTATGTGCCACCACCGCCCAGCAATATCAAATCGTTTCTGCTGACATCGCATGGGCTAGATCCTGGACACATGACCAGACCATAAGTGAGGTTAGACAACATGGTCTTTTAATGGACTGCCATGTTGTTGGGTAACGGTAAGAGGTGCTAATTCTGAAAGGAAGTAAAGGGGGATGATACTTGGAATGTTTAGGTAGTCTTACTGTGTACTTCAGACTGGCCTGGAATTGCTCCGTCTTCCTGCTTCAGACATCCAAGCGGTCGCAGTAAAGGTGTGTGACTGTTGAAGCCTTGCGTGACAGAGCACGCCTGTAATGCAGCAGTGGGGAAGTAAAGGCAGAAAGATCAGGTCATCTTCGGCTGCATAGCAGGTAGAGGACAGCCCTGGCCATTATAAGACCTGGTCTCACATGACCAGAATCAACAACAACAAACCAACAAAACAGAACAAGACTAAGAGCTCTTTGCTCATTACCGAGTTCCAGATTTTAAACATCTCCGGTAAGGGCTTTTTTCCATAGAACAGCGTGGAGACATTGTGTGAGTGTTGCAGCTTCCTCAGAGTCCACTGAAATGGTGTCTAGACTGACTAGCTAGCAAGCTTCCAGAAGCTCTGTGTGGCTGTTTACAGAAGCATGCTCTGCCTGGCCTTCACCAGGCGCTGGGGGTCAAAGTTCAGGTCTTTGTGGCTGTACAGCACGCACCGCACCACCCATTAAGATACCTTCCCAGCTCAGTGGTTCTCACTTGGAACTTATTTTTTTGGTTTTCCTCAATTGTGTGGATTATTCTTGGTTACCTTATTCTTAAGTCTAACTCTGGCTGTCTCCCTGTTCACTGTAATGTGCCTTCTGGATGACGTCTCCTACATATAAAGACTCCCAAGCATTCTGGGACCAGGTAGCTCCCAGGGGCCCAGCACTTTTCCTCTTCACTGTTGACACAATTATTGTCCCAGCATAACACAGGGAGGGGCATGCACGGCCAGCGAGACTGCTCCCTTTTTGGGCAGACATGTTGGTTGCCCAATCCTTATTTCCCTAGCCGTCTCCTCCTCTTTTAATCTGGGTCGGAGCTCCCTGGAACTCTGCTTAGCATCTCACTGCTCCCTGAGCCCGAAGGCCCCATTCCTAGTCATACCTGCATTCTCTCACTAAAGGACTCCTGTTAGGTTCATGCACATTTCATTTCACACCCCCACCCCATTTTAGACAGGTTGGTCTCAGACTCACTGTGTTGCTGAAGAGAGATGCTTTGACTCTCCTGAATCTCCTGCCTCGCCCTCCTAAATGCTGGGACTACAGGTTTACTGAATTACATGTGGCAGGCAGTTTTGTTTGTTGTTGTTGCTTTCTAAACATGATCAGCCTATGCTGACTTGCACTTCAAGTCTTTCTGCCAAGGCCTCCTCAATACCTCAATACCGGGTTGACACCATCCCTGGAGAAATTCAACTACCTTTTCTTCATTATTGTTGTGTTGGGACTGTATCCATGCACGCTGGGCCCATGTTCTACTGGAAGACTACAGTTGTTGTTTTGTTTTATGATCATAGAGTTTCTAGTTTATAGAATTTTCATGCCTTTAGGTCAAGGCACAAGCCAAGAAGGTCTCTGTTGATTATTCTTATTTTACTCCTTATATGTTTGGGTTATCTTGTGTGTAGGGATGGGGAGGGGATTGCTGGTGAAATGGCTCTGGATAAAAGAGCACGCCACCAATCCTGACAACCTGAGTTAGATCCTCAGGACCTACATGGTGGCACTTGACTGTACACACACACACATACACACACAGGATTATTTTTTTTAATAATTTATTTTCATTTTATGTGCATTAGTATTTTGCCTGCATGTATGTCTGTGTGAGGGTGTCAGAACTTGGAGTTAACAGACAGTTGTGAGCTATCATGTGGGTGCTGGGAATCGAACTCTAGTCCTCTGGAAGAGGAGTTAGTGCACTTAACCTCTGAGCTATCTCTCCAGCCCCTGGGGAGGATATTTTTTAAAGAATAAATTTCATTCAAATAATAGTGAATTTGGAAGATATTTAAATGATAAGATATATTTAACCTAAAAGCAATAGTGCCATCTAGTGTTTACACTTGGATTAAAAAAAAAAAGAAAACCTTTATACATAGCTTGTATCCTTAATATTGAGAAATGCAAACTTTTAAAAAAAAGATCCACTTTAATTAATCTTTGTACAGAATTTCAGTTTTGTATTTCATCTGGTAAAACTCGCAATTATAAATTCAATGCATATAAATTTGCTGACTGGTTGCCTGTGGTTTGCACAGTTAAATTCTACAATGAGTATTTTACTTTCTTTAAGAGTCGTGGTGGAAAAAAATTTCTGGCTGTACTGAAAGAAATCTTGGACAGGGATCCCCTGTCTCAGCTGTGTGAGAATGAAATGGATCTCATTTGGACTCTACGACAAGACTGCCGAGAAAATTTCCCACAGTCACTGCCAAAACTCCTCTTGTCAATCAAGTGGAATAAACTTGAAGATGTTGCTCAGGTAACAGAAAATTCCTCCTTCCCTCCCCTCCTCCTTTCCTCCCTTTTTCTCCTCCATCTCTTCCCTTTCTCTCCCCATTCTCCCCCCACTTTCTTTTCCCCAAATAACAACAAAAAAACTCTGTCTGTAGACCCATGTGCTTGTGTGTATATGTTACTCATTGATTTTGTGTAGACTGTCTTTCCACAGACATATTTCCATTTGTTGGATGTTTTCTGATTTCTGTTCAAAGATAGGTTCTCACTGTGACCTTGGCTGCTCTCAAACTTCCAATCCTCCTGGCCCAGCCTCCGAGTGCTGGGATCACTGATGTGCACGATGATACCCAGCTTGCTGGGTAATTCTCTGCAAAAGTTATTCCTGGGGTTTTACAGCTTACATATTCTGGGTAACTTCTGAGATCCTGGAACCCGGGTGAGGTGACCTTACAGCAATAACAACTGGAACAGTAGTTTGGGAGCCGCCATCTATCAAAATGGGCACTAGTGGTTTTGTTGTTTTAGTCAGGGTCTTACTTTGTAGCCCTGGCAGGCTTAGAACTCACTGTGTAGACCACACCGGCCTCAAGCTCACACACATCCACCTGCCTCTGCCTCCCGAGTGCTGGGTTTAAAGGTATGCACCACCATGTCTGGCACAGTTGCTCCTAAGATAAACAGCCAGCTGAAGGAGCATCCTTCACTGTCTAACCAACACAGCTCTGATCTTGCCTAGTAAATTGTTGTCAGCAGTTCAGGATGCGCAAGAAAACCCAACAAGAGATCACACATACTAGAGAGTAAGGTTTTATCAAGTGTTGAGTGTTGCAAGAGCTACAAATCAAACTTTTTTAATTCTCATTCAGAACCAGTTTTATTTCCAGTTGTCTGTCCCTGTGAGACTGTGCCCTGTAAATGTGTCATACCTACAGGAGGAGGGCTCCGGATCTCACAGAGCCACGACAGAGGCAGCTAAGGGTCCCCGCCCCCCAGAAGACACAGATGTAACTGCATCTATACATCTTTCATACAGAGCTCTGGCTCTTGCCTGGGGTGGGGGGGGGTCTTTGTTGTCCAGATAGCATTGTGAATATGATTTACTATCTATTTTCAAAAAGTAGGCACAAGTATTTAGTTCTTGTGGATTACTTATGTTCTGATTTGAGGAACTCAAGCATGCTCTGATTAATAAAAGATTCTGTAAGGTAACACATTTCTTTAAAAATTCATTTAAAAGTAAATGGGCTTGGTGGTGCACGCTTTTAATCCCAGAGTTTGGGGGGCAGAGACAGGCTGAATTCTGATTTCTAGATTAGCCTAGAAATCAGCAAGTCCAGGACAGCCAAAGTTACACAGAGAAACCCTGACCCAAAAGACAAAATAAATAAATGAATGAATGAATGAATGAATGAATGAATGAATGAATGAATGAATAAATAAATCGTTTGAGGAAGCCTTGCAATTTTATATTGAGTTATTAACCCCCTTAGTGTATAGGCCTTTAATTAGCTCAAGACTTAGCTTGTTTATACTTTCTTATCCTTAAATTATGTGATGGCTGATGATTGTAGAATCCACACCTGCAGTGTCTTCCTGTTTTCATTAGTTAAGCACATAGCAACCTTTTAAACTTAGACGGCCTTTGTTATTCTGCATCTGCCAGAATGTTTCAGGCATCAATAATTAAAGTTTTTCCTTTAATTTGACTCATCTCTGTTCCCATGTGCTGGGAAAGATAAGGCATTTTTGTCCACCAAACTTGTGACCCAGCTTTAATTTTAAACAGCTTCAAGCCCTCCTGCAGATTTGGCCCAAACTACCCCCCCGGGAAGCACTGGAGCTCCTAGATTTCAACTATCCAGACCAGTACGTCCGGGAGTATGCTGTAGGCTGCCTGCGACAGATGAGGTAAGTCCTTTACTACACCAACCTGGGGCAAGGAATTTCCTGGTGGGCCAGGAAGAGGGTGGCTACTTGAATGTTGCATAAGAAGCCTAAGGAAGTTTGAGTTTCCGTGGCCAGTTATGTGAGAGCTCATCATAGCACCCTCTGCTGGCCCTATAGCCTAATCGCACTGCTGATGAACAGTTGAGGTGCAGAAAGCCACTCTTCCCTTTTTCTACAGGACAAAGTTCTGAAACCTGAGTTTCTAAATGTCTGCCCTAGGCCATCCCCGAAGGTTGGATTTCCCAGAGGGAACAGGCACACCTGTGTTGCCTCTTTCCTTCACTGTAGTCTACTAATTACCCAAATAAAAAGGGTTAATATTTTATGATGGAGGCATATTTGTTTGTTTTCACATAGGATCTCGCAGGCTGCCCTTGAACTCACCATGTAGCCCAGGCTAGCTAGTTCTCAAACTCAGACAGATCCTCTTGCCCCCAGTCCTGGCTATGGTCCCTTCTTGCTTTTAAAATCAGATCAGTTTCAAATCGTTTGATTGGTAGAGGAAATTATGCAAACTCTTTAAAGGTCTGAGATGCAAAATCTAATGTGTGAGAGAAGTGGCCTGTGGCTTTTATACTTTTGTTTTTCACTGTAGCTATAGGTCTTTAGGTGGATGCTGACCTTCTTGGTTAATTGATCACTTAAGATTGTTGTATAGGTTGTTTTAAAAATGAAGCTTTTGTGCTGGAGAACTGGCTCTGAGGTTAAGAGCACTGGCTGCTCTTCCAGAGGTCCTGACTTCAGTCCCCAGCAACCACATAGTGGCTCACAACCATACATAATGAGAGCTGGTGCCCTCTTCTGGTGTGCAGGTCTATATGCAGACAGAACATTGCATGCATAATAAATAAATAAATAAACAAATAAATAAATAAGCCTTTTAAAAACAATTTTAAAAAAATGAGGCTTCCAGTTGCCTTGTCTCCCTGAGTTTGCACTGGAGACCTGATGAAAAGGGAGGAGCCACTTTTTTCTGTGGGTTAAGCTAAGTGCTTGTTTTTGGGGGGAGATGCTGCAATGATCTTGTCACCCCGTGATCTGACCCCTCTCTCTGGATATTAGTGCGCTGGGTTTTGTTTCCCATTTCTTGCAGTGGTTTGGCCCCAGTTTCGCCCAGTTTTGTAGCCAGTTGTTGGAAAGCAGCATGGACAGTGACAGAACTGGGTGCTCTGACCCTTGGGGCCACTGGGCTTGTCTGTGAAGGTGGTTTACACCAGCCAGAGTAAATTCAGTCCCTTTAGTAATAATGTATTATGCAGTGTCATTGTTATAATCCCCGCCTATAGGTGCATTCATTTTCTTGTCCTTCAATCTATTTGATGTTAGGTTTTAGTTGTTCACTGATGTGGAAGAATGAATTACTTAAAACCACAAGATAACAAAGAAAAAATAAACCAATAATTAATGTAATTTATTAATTATTATTAAAATTAACAATTTAAAAATGCTTGTTTGGCTAGAAGACATTGGTGTGATCAGAACTGTTCTCCAGGGTCTGTGGAATAGCTCTGGAGGTGGAGCTTTGACATGAAGCCTGATGTCCTCATTGACCCCTGGAACCACATAGAGGGAGAAGGAGAGAATTCATTTTACCACACTGTCCTCTGAGCTTCACATGAACACCATGGCATACACACCACATAGATGCACCACAGTAAAAATAAAATTGCAGTGGGGTTAGTGGGCGGGAATATTGGCTGATTATGTGTGTAGTCACTAGTTGGAACAAGTTAGGTTTGATGCGGCTCCCTCCCTCCTGGCATTTGAAATCTCTATCTTTTGGTCAGTATTCCAATATGGTACAGTAGGTGTAAATACGTGGCAAGCCTGGCCCAGGAGACCATACATTTTAGCCTGTTGGCATATGACAGTTTGGTAAGGAGGGGCTTTTTTCTGGCACAGGTGGCTGAGTTTCTCTCTCTTTTGTTTCTTTCAGTGATGAAGAACTCTCTCAGTATCTTTTACAATTGGTGCAAGTTCTGAAATATGAGCCTTTTCTTGATTGTGCCCTCTCTAGATTCTTATTAGAAAGAGCACTTGATAACCGGAGGATTGGGCAGTTTCTATTTTGGCATCTTAGGTAAGTCTTTCATATTTGAATTTGAGACCATCATGTGCTTTGACAACTGTAATCTAGTGTGATGTAAGACATTTCAGTGGGAGAGCCAGAAGCTTGTGGTTCCTGATCCGTCTATAACATTTATGCTATTTTGGTGCCTTATCTTATTTTTTGGTAACCAAACATTTGTCTAAGTATTTCAGGTATGTATTTCATGATGCTTCCTGGATTTTTGTTGTTGTTGTTTTTTGAGACAGGGCTTCTCTGTGTAGCCTTGGCTGTCCTGGACTCACTTTGTAACCAGGCTGGCCTCGAACTCAGAAAGATCCACCTGCCTCTGCCTCCCTGAGTGCTAGGTTACTGCACCACCGTGCCTGGCTGTTTTCTGGATTTTTAAATAAAACTAGTAACTGATATATTATACTATTCTCTAGCAAATTAATTGTCTTTTAAATATTTATTTAATACTTATATTTGCATATATGTTTAAACTCCACCTCATCCCCTCCCCTTCAACTTCTCCTCTACCCCCAGTCACTTTTCCCTTCTAACTTCATGTGCTTTGTTTTTTTTTAAGAAATAAACTAATTTTCTTAGCTATGTGATTTATTTATTCCTTTCAGAAGTTTGCAGACAATATATACTTCTAAATTTATTTTTATTTTATGGGCATGGGTGCTTTGCCTGTATGCCTGATGCTTACAATGGCCAGAAGAGAGGGCATTGGATACCCTGGAACTGGAGTTATAGACAGTTGTGAGCTGCCATGTGGGAACTGGGAATTCAGCCTGGTTCCTTTGGAAGAGCAGCCGTGATGTTAACCACTGAGCCATTTCTCCAGCTTCAGTCTCTGAACACTATCACTATCACAACTATTACTGAGTACAGTCGAAGTTTTACCAAAACAGTAGAGATTTTATTTGTGTATTTTTAAAAATTGTGTTAATTTCCATGTCTCTATATGTGAGTACAGATGCATGTAGGGGCCAGACAGAGGCCTGGGATTTCCCTGAAGCTGGAGCTGTAGGCAGTTGTTAGCCATCTGACGTGGAACTTGGGTCCGCTGCAAGTGCACTAACAGCTTAACCTCTGAGCCATCTCTCTAGACCGGGTACCTGTTTAACTTTGCGGTGCTGGACACATGTTTAGTCGGGATTCTATTGTTGAGCTAGATCTCAAACTTGTGACTTTATTAATTAGGTCATTTTTAGAAGCATATGAGCCTGTTTCACTAATTATACAGCAGTAAAGTCAGGAATAAGCGCTAAAGTTGATCCCGTGTTTAACTGTGAGAGCGATGGATTTCTCTTTTATACCCTCCTCCCACCATTTGCACTTCATTGTTCAAGCTTAAACTTATAGGGGGCGGGGGATGAGCCTTCCTTTGAAGCTTTATAAAGAAAGTGCGCTCTCTGTAATACTGTGGTGTTAATTTCAGTGGAGTTTCCCTTCTGAAGTGGTTTTTTTGTTGGTAGATTGTTTTCTTATTTATAATTTGTCTTTCTTGTACAATTCAATACTGTTTTGAACCCCTCAGAGAATAACAAAATAAATATTCCTTCCCTTTTTCATATATGTATGAAAAAATGAAATATATATATATGTGAAAAATATATATGTATGTGTGTCATTCTTTGAGTGAGAAAAGAAAACTGGGGACAGCACCATGGTTCAGTGAGCAGTGGTTTTTGCAGTGCAAGCCTGACAACCCGAGTTCAGCCCCTAGAACCCACAAAAAGGTAGAAGAAGAACCAGTTCTCCACAGCTGTCCTCTGACCTCCACATGCACCCTGTGTCTGTGCCCCACCCAGGTCACACACACTAGGTCACTCGGCAGCAACAGGGGAGGGAGCCAGACAGAGGCTGGTTGACTGACCCCAAATAGATTTGTTTCTGCCTAAATTCTCTCAAAATTCCCAAGTCACATTTCTTTTCCCCTTCAAAAGGCAAGTCAAGTAGAATGTGAAATGGCAGTTTTCTTCAACTAAAGAACTAACCATTAAGATCACATAACTTCCGAGTCCTGACACCTGACAGTTGAGATGGGCCATTTACTAGTCAGTGCTTAGGATGACCAGCTCCTGGCTGGTTGGCATCTGAAGAGCATTTAATGGAGAATGAAAAAGTCAGTGTTTCTTTTCCATGGTCTAAAATTTTGATTACAAACCATTTGTGTATTGCTTTTCTGTAGGTCAGAGGTGCATATTCCAGCCGTGTCCATACAGTTTGGTGTCATCCTGGAAGCGTACTGTCGCGGAAGTGTAGGCCACATGAAAGTACTTTCCAAGCAGGTACAGGCACAGTGACCAATCGAGTTCACAAATGGAATTTCTCCAACTGCATGTTTGATTGCCCTATCCGTAACTTACCTGATCAACACTTGTGGGAAAGGACTGAGTCTCATGAGGCCCAGGCTGGTCTCGAACTCACTAGTTGAGGAGGACTATGGCCTTTTGAGTGCAGGGATCCAGAGATTGGACTGGGGCTGTGTGCTTGGTAGGCAGGCCATCTGCCACTGAGCTGTTTCCTAGCCTTCAGCATGAAGCTTTAGGAAAATCTGTCAAGATAGGAAGTTTCAGCAAGCTTAGAATTAAAGCATAAATGAATACCAAATTGAACACAATTAGCTAGGATTTCTCATATTTTCTATATTTATAGTATGCCTTAAAATTTAATAGTCTATATGTATTTCATAATGGAGGGAGGCAATCTTTTGACTCTGGTTTTTCATAGCCTAAGTTACTCTTTTCAGTTGATATGATATTTATGTTTTAAAAGTTTTACTCTTTAGAATAGTATTTATGAGGCATGTAATTCATCATGTCTGAGAAATAGCCTTGAACTCACAGAGGTCCCTCTGCCTCTGACAACCTCCACTTTCCCCATACCCACCATGTATACAGTAAAAAGGCATGTACTACCATGCTTGGCTAAAGTGGCTTACAAGTACAAGGTTGTTTGTTTGTTTTGGATTTTGAAAGCTAAAGTTACCCCCAATGCTAAGACTGGAGAGAGGACTCGAGAGAACTTGCTCTTGGAGGAGACTCAGGTTCAGTTTCCAGTTCCCCTGTCAGGTGGCTCACAACCACCTCCAATTCCAATGTAGGGAATCTGGCACCCTCTTCTGGCCTCGGTGGCCGCCTCCATACACACGGTACACGTCCATATACTAAGGCATAGGCATATATACACACTTAAAAATATGGCAAATCTTAAAACTAAAAGCAAGCTTGCTTTTTTTTTTTTGAGATGGGGTTTCTCTTTGTAGCCTTGGCTAGCATGGAACTCACTTTGTAGACCAGGCTGGCCTTGAACTCAGAGGTGTGCTTGTCTCTGCCCCTGCAACAACACCCAAGTGCTGGGATTAAAGGCTCTTAATGTGTGGTTGGTTAGGGCTAGTGGTTAATGTGACTGTATGATATCATCATATTTTTAACCGTAAATTAATTTTGGGGGTGGGGAACTGTACCCAGCTTAAAAGCAAGCAGTTTCATCTTGGACAATAAACACCTTGAATCATAATCTGTTCTTTTCTTGGCAGTGGAAAGAAAGCAGGTTGAGATTCCAGGCACCGGGTGATAGGTATTTACAGGCACAATAGCACGTAACTATAATGCCAGCCCTAGCAAGGCTGAGCAGCCTGGGCTCCTTAAAAGGCTACATCTAGAACACACGGGAAAGGGCATGAAAGAAGTCACTGAGGTTTCAGTACCAGGAACAGCGAGTTACCAATGCACAGATTTCCCTGTCACATGGCATAGGAGCGGTTCGGATTGAGATGTTTCAAACTCCATCACTTGGTGAACTGTAGAGTTGACTGCAGGTTCATACCTGTCTGAACATACCCACACTCTGTGCCTGCTTATTTTCCTGAGTTTGTAAGCTGCCATCTAATGAAGGATTTAAAAGCGATACCTTAACGAGAAATGATAACTTTCTGTGTGTAAAACTCTTCTTATACACAGGGTTTTTCACTTCAGCTGATTGTGTATGTGTGCTTGGTTAGGGCTACTGATTAATGTGACTATATGATATAGTAATATTTTCAACTATAACTTAATTTTGGGGGCGGGGAACCTTATTTTTCAGGTTGAAGCACTCAATAAGTTGAAAACTTTAAATAGCTTAATCAAATTAAATGCGATGAAGCTGAACAGAGCTAAAGGGAAGGAGGCCATGCATACTTGCTTGAAACAGAACGCTTACCGGGAGGCCCTCTCCGACCTGCAGTCACCTCTGAACCCATGTGTCATCCTCTCAGAACTCTCGTAAGTGACCGTGCTCTGCACAGGGACTAGCAATGTCAAAAAGATTCCTGAGGCTCTGTGTTGGCAACTGGTGGAGCTGGCTGTTTGCCCAAGGAGGTCAGGTGGACTAAGGACAGAAAAGCTTAGGAGTCTGCCAAAGCTGTTTATATTCATTTTGCTCTATAGCTATTGGCTAGATTTCTCTGTGGGAGTAGTAATAGTTCAAATTAATTTCTTTCAGTTATATCTAATTTTTGTTGTATGCAAGCACATAGTTGTTTTTTTTTTTTTTAAAGATTTTTTTATTTTTAATTATTGGGGTCGGGCATGCACACATGAATGCAGGTGTTCCCAGTAGCCAGAGGCATCAGATCCCCCGGAGCTTGAGTTACAGGCTGTTGGAAGCTGCCTGACTTGGGTGCTGGGCACTGGAACTTGGGTCCCCTCCAAGAGTAATGAGATTTAAATGAATCTCCAAACTCCTGCTCATATTTTCATACAGAAATGGAAAATTATAATTTGTGTCAATAAAAATATTCAGTATCGATCCTTCATTATGAAATCAAGAATCAGGGCTAGAGATGTAGCTTAGCATTTAAGAGCTCTTGCTGCTCTTGCAGAGGACTAGGCTTTGGTTCTCACCACTCATGTCAGGTTGTAACTCCAGCTCCAGGAGACCTGATGTTCTCTTCCAGCCTCTGTAGTACCCGTATATACACACACATATACACATAAATAAGAAATGTCTTTAAAAAGAGTCCTTTTTTGTCCTAATTTTAATACAGTAGTATCTTCTAATCTTTAGCTCACAAAATACAATGTTAAGGAAGTACAAGAAAACAAGGAGAGGGCTGGAGAGATGGCTCAGAGGTTAAGAGCACTGGCTGTTCTTCCAAAGGTCCTGAGTTCAATTCTCAGCAACCACATGGTGCCTCACAACCATCTATAATGAGAATCTGTATCCTCTTCCAGCCTGCACTCACACATGCAGACAGAATAATGTATAAATAAATAAATAAATCTTAAAAAAAGAAAACAAGGAAAAATTGCAAGCAGAGGCAATAAAAGGTGGTCAGATCCTAGGTTGGAGTTTTGTCCCTTGAGCATCCGTATATGCCAACCAGGGCTGTCCTCAGAGTCTTTTTCTACCCAGAGGAAGTTTTTCTGGGCTGTGACTTATGCACGCTCAGAAAGGAGTAGGTGGGGGGCACTCTTGCACATTGTTAGGCTGTCGTGGCTGACCTCTCCTTGCTGATTTCAGTGTTGAAAAGTGCAAGTACATGGACTCCAAGATGAAGCCATTATGGCTGGTCTACAGCAACAGAGCGTTTGCAGAGGACTCTGTTGGAGTGATCTTTAAAAATGGCGATGGTGAGTCCTAGAGTTTTCACAGCATACTGGAAAAGTGTGTGTGAGACAGTGTGATAGCAGACAGTGACTGCTGTCATTGCTCATGAGATCAGATCAGCACACCCTGGGATCCTCTCATTTCTTCTTGAGAAATCACTTCTACAGTTTATCTAGTGACCTAATAAGCTTTCCTATTTTGCACTGTAAAATACAAACATTAAATCTTTTGATGAAAACGTTGTGAAAGGCAAGTATATGTCAGCATATATTCATGCATCCTGTTCCAGGAACAGCAACTTTGATATCACTCTAGAGCCTCATGTTTTAATTGAGCTGATGACCCAGACTTCATAAGGAAATGCCTATGAAACATTGCACCAGCCAAAGGCAGTCATAGCGTGTAAGCTATATGGCCTGCGACTGCATAGCTATAGGTTCTTCATCTCCTAAAGGGTTATAGCATCTGTGTGCCAGAGTCCTTAAAGGGATATATGATAAATAACTTGTTTATACAGGACTAATATTACTGAGCCTTAATAGAACTTCTTCAGAGTGACTCATGTTTGAGACAGTTCACTCTGTACCACAGACTGACTTCAAACCTGTGGTCCTGGCTCGGCCTCCTCAGTGCTGGGATTACGTGAATGTACCAGCATATCCGCCCTCATGGTGTATTGCTAAATATTTTAATCCACTAGACCATACAAATAGTATAAAATAAATTACTTTAACATTATTTTATCTGAAAGTATTCGTTCAGATAGGGGGAGGGGAGACAGTTTTATGCAGCCCAGATTGGCCTTGAACTCTGCCCCAATCTTTCCCACCTCTCAGGTGCAGGGATTATAGGTGTGGCCATCATGTCAGGCTGAAAATACTTTTAAACTTTTATTAACTGCTATTATTTTGGCCCGAGAGCTCACTATGTAGTAAAGGCTGGCTTTCCATTTGCAGTGTTAATGTTTCGACTCCTGAGTGCTGAGACTGGAGGCTCTCATAGACAGGATAATAAATAAATCAACTATTACTGTTTTCTGGACTCCTTGTATGACTTACAAGAATATTCTGTGGAGCATTGAACACAGGAAAAGTTAACAATTTGTCCTTTTTAGTGGACGTATACTTTCATAGTACTCCTGTGGTTGGTACAGTAGTCCATACATAGGAGACAGTTGAAAATTTAATTTCTGAAACCATAGAGGGGCATGCTGATCACTGAGCCTGCCCGATACAGTGAATATGGCGAGATTAAAACTGGGGAAAGTACAGTGTTGGTAATGGTTTCGGTGAGTCTGACTGAATGCCTGAGGTGGAGTTAGCAAGCAGTGGCCCTGCGATGACCAGCGCATGTAACTTGGCTGCCGGTTCCCTTAGATTTGCGGCAGGACATGCTGACACTGCAGATGCTGCGCCTGATGGACCTGCTCTGGAAAGAGGCCGGCCTGGACCTTCGGTGAGCATCCCAGTGCCTTTGCCTATTTTGTGGTGTTTCTCTTCTATTGAGTCCTTTCCTTCTGCTATTTTAATTATTATTCATAATGATAGTTGATACGGCCTTTTACAATGTGCTTTCTAGTCATTGCTCTATTTGAACGTCGTCAGACTTAAAACTACATGTTTCTTGAGGTTCCAGAAAAAGAGTAGGTTTGGACTTTAATGCGACTTGGACAGACATCCAGAACCACATACCAGGTTATAGTTTGGTGGCTTTGGTTTGACAGGACCTTTGGTAGCTCAGGCTGGTATTGAACTTACTCTACAGGCAAAGATGGCCGTAAATTCATCATCCTCCTGCCTCAGTGTCTCAAGTGCTGGGATTCCAGTCATGTGTCTTCACACCCTGTTGAACTCTTTTGTACAAAGATTTGAAATCATTGCTGTGCGTTGACTAACAAAGGCACTTGGTTAGTTTCACATAGATCATCTCTTGGGAACCTCGTATCTCTATGAGGTCGTGTTACTCTTTTTTAGCAAGTGAAAAAAATCAGGACGGTAGTGATTTTTAAGCACAGGTTACAAAAATATTAAATGGTGCCTGACTCAACTCCAGGATTTTCAAGATTCTAAAGTTGATGTCTTTCTTCTGTTTCACTGGCCCATCAAAGTGAGAAGGCGGTGTGGAAAGACTTGTCTAGTAATCCTTCGTTTGCCAAAATATGACAATACTCACAACGCCTCATCGCCTACCCCGTGCTTTCTTCTTTTAAACGTTTGTGTGTGTGCACATGTGCCCGTGTGTGCACCACGAGGACACTTGCAGAGGTCAGAAGGCAGCTTCTGAGAGTTGGCTTTCCTTCTATGGGTCCTGGGAATCGAGTCTTAGGCTGTCAGTCTTGACGGCAGCGTTGTACCCACCGAGTTATCACGCCTTGTTTGTGTTTTACAGGAGTCTTTGCTTCCAGATCCTTCTAGGATATGCTTTTCCACTTCTATTACATTAGAATAATCTATTTTTTTTTCTTTCCTGGGACTGTAGATGTGATTGCAATAAGAGAGAGATGCATTTTTTTCTTTTATTCAAAATAGATTTTTTTTTCATATAATAGATCCTGATTACAGTTTTTCCTTCCTCTGTTTCTCCCAGTTCCTTCCCACCTCTCCTCCTTTCCAGACCTACCCCATTTCTTTCCATCTATCATTAGAAAACAAACAGGCTTCTAAGGGATAACAGTAAAATAAAATATAAGGTAAACCAAAAACTAACGCATCAGCATTGGGCAAAGTAGACGAACAGAAGAAAATGAGCCCAAGAGAAGGCACAAGAAGTAGAGACCCACTTATTCTCATACTCAGGAATCCCATAAAAACAGGAGACTGGAAGCCATAATATATACACCAAGGACATGTGGGGTAAAAGAAGGAGGAAAAGAAAACATAAAAGTAAAAAGCAATAAGATGAAGTTTAAAAATTATAAAAAGGAAAAGCCCTGACATGACATTATGAGATAAATATACTATTGAGTTGGCTTTCTATTATACATATGCTGCCAGATGGCGATGCAGCCTACCCCTAAGAGTAGTTTATTTCCCCAGTGAGACTCCCTTGGGGGAAACTAAATGTCCATTTGCAAGTGGTTATCAGTTGGAGATTGCTTCTGGATTAGGGGTGGGGACATGTGCCCACCTCTTTTAGCTCTGTGACCCCGTCTCAAACCTTTTAAAAAGGACCCAGCAGTCACCATATATAATGTATTTTCCTTTAACTTAGGGATGTGTGATTAACTGCTATGTGTGAATGGCAGCTTTTCTTTTTTCTTTTTGGCTTAACCACTCATTAGGAAGACATCCCAGGCAGAGGGTTGAGCATCTTGGTTTGTTGTTGTTGTGACCAGATTCCTACCAAGAAGCAACTTAGGAGCCGTGAGGTATCTCAGTGGGTAAAAGTGCAGTACAAACCCAGTGCCCGAACTCAGTCCCCAAGTGCATGACGGAGGGGAGACACTGAAATGCTCAGACACAATACCTTAGCATGAGGCAGAGTTAGGGAAGAAAGGCTTATTGGGTTCACTGATTCTGGGGACTCACAGGGGCAAGACCAGCTCCTGGCCTTGGAAGGCACAGGTCCCCTCCTCACTCCTGCAGATCAGGAAGCAGAGCCCAAGGGAGTGGCAGCATTCCGTTGGCTTTCTTCCTTTCCTTTTCTTGATCTGTCCCAGAGCACAGCATATGGGATAATGCCGCCCACATGCAGGCACCTCCTTCCTGTCAGTTAATCCTCACTGGCAACACCCTCCCAGGCACAACCCAAGGTGTGCCTCACCAATGCTGTAGATGTTTTCTTCCTTCAAACCAGTTGATGGTCAGTATTTACCATTCAGTAAATGAACCTCTGCTTAAGAACCATGCACGCTGTAGGACATGGGCTACCTAATCTGGTAAATAACCTTTTACTGGTGCACAGCCTTGTCTTTACAGAACTGTCAGTAGCTATTGGTGTACTCCCACAGCACAGTTACCAGCAGTGCTTAAAAACACTCTCCGGCCCATCCTAAAAGTTCATCGATTCTCCTATTTAGAAGAAACCACAGAAAGTGATCTTACTGATTGGATCCTATACTAGTTACTTACTGGTGTGATAAAAACAGTGTGGCCAAGGCATTTTATAAAAGAAAGCCTTTAACTGGGCATGCAGTTTCCGAGGGTTAGAGTCCATGGTTATGGAGTTAAGGCATGGTCACAGGAAGAGTTAAAAGCTTACACTTGGAACAGCAAACAGGAAGCCGAGAGAGCACTAACTGGGAATAGCCAGAGTCTTTGGAAACCTCAAAGCCCACCCCCACCCCCACCCCAGTGACACACCTCCTTTAGGGCCACACCTCCTAATCCTTCCCTTACAATTCCACCAACTGGAGTCCAATCACTAGAACGTGAGCCTATGGGAGCCATTCACATTCAAACCGACAGATCCCATCACAAAAGAAATTTCCAACTCTGGTTGGGTGACTCCTTTGTGTTTTCCTCCTTATCAGAGACTACTGGGTGATCCATTACTAATGGCAGGTTTGGCCAGAGGATGGGCCTTTCTGAGTTACAAAGCCTGAGCTGAAAACTGATTTCTTCGTCCCATCAGCCTAATTGAAAACTCCAGAGACAGGCAAATCTCTGTGAGTTCACGGCTACAGGAGAAACCCTACCTTGAAAAAATTAAAAATGTAAAGAAAGAGAGAGAAAGAAAGAAAATTCCAATCCAGTTATTTTCTCTACATTTTGATCTTGTTTATTCCACCTAGAGTTGTCATGCATTTAGCTTCATGAACTTGACTGTAACCTCAGATAAAGAGGCCGTGGGGATGGCTGGAGGCGCACTTAGTTCCTGTGCAGTAGGAAGCAGTGAGTGTCCAGTGGGATATTGCTGGCATTTTGTCCTCTGACCCCCACCTCCTTTAAGTGAAGGGCTTTGAGTTCTTTCAAACTCCTATCTCTTTCTCACAAAACCTTCTCTACTGTTTCTATAAATAGCTGTGCTCCAGCGTGCCTGTTGTGTTTGTTTTTCTTTGGGGCAGCACACACTTTTCAGTTAATGTCAAATATTTGGTACCTCCTATATGTTACTATTTTAGAACTGTAACAAAAATACTTATGTGCACTTAAATTTTCTCTTGTTTTCTCATGATACTCTGTCTTTTATGTCAAAAGTAGAACATTTATAAGGCATATATATGTTGAGATACCTTGTTTTTTTGCTTAACAGTCAGTTAGCTTCTCCTGTCAACTGAAAAGTTGTCAACCTTAAATCTATATGACATTTGGTAGACTTGACAGTCCTCTGTGTACCTTGTCCCATATAAATAAAAAAATTAAAAAATGGGTAGTTGTACATCTGAATTTTTAGTGATGGAACTTTGGGGGGCAGTCGAGGGGAACAGGGACTCTGTTCTGTAGCTCTGGCTGTCCTGGAACTCACTCTGTAGACAGGCTGGTCTCAGGCTCACAGAGATCCACCTGCCTCTGCCTCCCAAGTGCTGTCATTAAAGGTGTGTGCCACTGTGGCTAGCTCTACTGGTGGAATTTATTCACTTCTAAGAGAGGGTTAGGGTGCAAGAAGCATGTGAGAATAATGCAGACACTAGGTAAAGGGGGAGTCTGCACCCTGACCTTTGGCAGTAGGTAGAGGTGCTACCCAGGCTTGCATTGGTGTGATAAAGGGGAGAGAAAGGGCTACCACTGTCCTCTTTCTAATTCAGTGTGTCTCAGGCCAGAGTCCTTGCTTTCCCAGGAAGGTAGCATTGTCCTTAGGTCAGAGAGTGTGAGAAAGGAAGGTAAATGTTAAAAGTGTTGTCATGTCCTTTATAAAGACTAGGTGCTCATGGCAAAGGAGGCCCTGATGCAATGATTAGGGAGGGCGGCTAAGTTTGTCCCCAGCATGACTTCTGTCAAACTGTCTTTCAGATGAGGATGTTTTTTCCTTCCCATTGTGAATGTCCCATCCTTAAGTCACTGATTGCTTTCATCATTGCTTGCTTTTGAAGAGGAAGTTGTTGGACTTGTGCCCAGTTTGGGCTGTAAGTGGGATGACAGGGCGCAGGAAAGCAAGAAAGTGCACTTTAACCCAACAGTGTTTGCTTTGCATGGGTTGTGTCACAATGGGCTGGCAGGCACTAGTAAAAATACAGTGCTCCTTGTTTTTTGTTAAAAAAAGAGAAGTAAGTTAATAATGTAGGTCTAAATTAGTTCATCAGTATTTCATTCTGCCAGAATGTAATTTGGCAGTATTGCTCTCATTTAAAGGAATATGCAATAATTCTTTTTTGGAAGTAATTTTAGAAGCTAATACTTAATGCTCTCCTTTTATCTAACTGCTATACACACTAATGAACTCATTCTCCCCCACACTTGTTTTTTTTTTTTTTTTTTTTTCTTGTCTCTAATCCTGACATGAGCTGCATGCAGGACCTCATGCTGACTTTTCAACATGGCTCATCTTTTTCTCACTTTGCTCAGATGTCCTGCCTAGTCCTGTCCTAGCTTCTCCTCAAAAAGTCTTTAGTAAAACAGAAGCCTTTTCTAAGTTGCCCAGGTTGGCCTTAATCTTATTGTGTAGATCAGACAATCCTTTAGTTCTCTGGACAAGGACTTAACGACACTCACAGAGAGGCCAGAGGAGAAAGCCAGCTATCCACCTACCAGGCTCTACGTTATTACTTTGAAAGAGGATCTCTTGCTGGACCTGGAGTTAGGTTGCTGGCCATCAAGCCCCATTAATCCCCCCATCCATGTCTCCCCATCACACTCAGCTTTTTATGTAGATTTTGTGAGATCTGAACTGAGCTCCTCACACTTGCATAGCAAGCATTTTTACCCGCTGAGCCACCTCTTGATCTTACATTTTTAAAAGACTTTTAGATTTTAAATTATGTGTATTTGTATATGTCTGCATGTGAATACAGGTGCCCTCCGAGGCCAGAATAGGGCATCAGACCCTCTGGAGCTGGAGTTATAGGTTGTTGGGAACTGGGAACCAAGCTTCTGTCCTCTGTTAGAGCAGCAGGTTCTTTTAACAGCTGAGCCATCTCTCCCCCCTCCCACAGAGGTGATTTGGGGCTCCTGCCGGGGCATCTCCCCATCAAGACCACATTCACATCGTTCCTTGTGCTTCATAAGTTCAGTGAGAGTAGGGACTGCTCATGACTGAATCATATCTGGCATTTATAGAACATGTGCCTCGTAGCTGCACCCAGCATTTGCTGAACCCTACATTCTGTCCTTTGGTTGGTTGTTTGGGCTGGCATCTCATATAGCCCAGGCTGGCCTTGAACTTGCTGTGTAACCAGGGGTGACTCTTATAGCCAGGTGCCACCATGCCCTGCTTTGTTTCTATTTTCTGTAGGTAATTTAACGTTTACTTGAACCTCCCAAGATGCAACACTCCATTACCAACTTCCTCTTCTTTCTCTGACGCTGCCCTTGAACTTGCTATGTAGTCAAGGCTAACCTTGAACTTCAAATTTCCACCCCCAAACACTGCCACTTCTGGCATGTGCCACCATGCCCAGCACCAGTAACTCTTTAAAAAATTGTGTAATGTGCATGACCCGAGTGAGGCATGTGCCTGGAGATCAGAGGTCAACTTGCAGGTTCTGTTCTCACCTTCCATCGTGTTGGTCCCAGGCGCTGAATTCAGTCGTTAGGCTTGGCATCAAGTACCTTTACCCACTGAGCCGCCTTGCCTCTCTAAAAGTTACCCTTGTTATAGTTTTCAGAAAATTGGAGAAAGCTGGGTGTTGGTGGCATGCCTTTAATCCCAGCACTCAGGAGGATCTGTTGAGTTTGAGGCCAGTCTGCTTTACAGAGTGAGTGCCAGGACAGCCATGACAACACAGAGAAACTCTGTCTCATGGGGGAAAAAAAATATTTTGGTTCTGAAGACTTAGAGTAAAAAGGAGTGACTTCTTGTTTATCTGATGTGCTTCTGTCTGTCAGTGCAGACCGAATATTTCACAAGCGTAATTATATAGCAAATGATGCATTTAGTTTTGCAGCATTAGCATTCTGGTAAACCGTTCCATCTGTTGGCCCAGGCTTTATGCTCTAGCAAAAGATAGAGAGAACTTCTATTTTCCATATGGAGTTACTAAGTAATGACAAGTCTGCCAACAATAAAACTCTTCTTCCAAATCAAAGGAAAAACTTAAAAAAACGAGTGTTTTCTCTCATGGAAAACATGGCCCCTTGTGTCTACTTTTCCCTTTCAGGATGCTCCCCTATGGCTGTTTAGCAACAGGAGATCGCTCTGGCCTCATTGAGGTTGTGAGCACCTCTGAGACAATCGCTGACATTCAGCTGAACAGTAGCAACGTGGCTGCCACAGCAGCCTTCAACAAAGACGCGCTCCTGAACTGGCTCAAGGAGTACAATTCTGGGTGAGTGTGCGCCATCATTTCCCTGTGTGAGCACTCACAGAGATCATCGTGACCCGACAGAAGCCTGACTGCTCACAGGGAATGTTTGTACTGTATTTTCACCTCACTCAGCACAGAATGCCTCATGGGCCTTACTAAAATATCAAAACTTAGCCAGACATGGTGGTGCATGCCCTTAATCCCAGAACTCAGGGAGGCAGAGGCAGGCGGAAGCGGATCATTGTGAGTTAGAGGCCAGCCTGGCCCAGGATACAGAGAGAGAAACCCTATCTCAAAATAATAATAATAATAATAATAATTAAAACTTGGTGCCTGGAGAGATGGCTGCTTACCCAGGGGTCCTGAGGTCAGTTCCTAGCAACCTTTTATCTTAAAGGCTAGAAGCTCTTCAGTGTGTCCGAGTGTGTTTTTAAGACAGTGGATTGACATTGTTGTTCACATGCATCAAATTATGTTACTTTATGAACTTAGCCTTCTAATAGGTTAATCCTTTAAAAGATATGTTTGTTTGGTTTTGAAGGTTGGGTATCCCTGGAGTCCTGGCTGTCCTTGATCTCACTCCATAGACCACAGAGATCTTCCTGCCTCTGCCTCTTAAGTGCTGGGCTCAAAGGCATGTGCTGCCCTTACGGTTATTTTTAATTAAGTGTACACATGTGCCTGTGTGTACACATGCGCACAGGAGTACAGGTACCCCTGGAGTCCAGAAGAGGGTTTCAGATGTCCTGGAGCTGGAGTTACAGGCCGCTGTGAACCACCCTCTGTGGGTGCTAGGAACCAAACTCAGACCCTCGAGGAGAGCAGCAAATGCTCTTCTCTGCGAGGCCATCTTCCAGCCCTAATAGGTTACTTTTATGAGCATAGCCTATGATCCCTCCAAACTAAAAGAAAAATATTTATAATCTTGTTCCTGGGCTGTTACAGTTGGTAGAATGCTTTCCTAGTATTTGCAAATACCTGGGTTTGATCCCTAGGATCACAGACACCTAAATGGCACATGCCCGTACCTCAGGATTCCGGTGGTAGAGGCAGAAAAATCAAAAGTCCAGAGGCATCCTGAGCTAGATAGCAATAAGACCCTGCTTCAGTAATGCTGTAAGAATAATAGTGTTATTTATGGTTAGAGTGATGGACATCACTATTCTAGGAAATAAAGATTTCACTATGAAGGGAAGTGCTTTCTTAGTATTTTTGGTCAAATACTAAGTTAAAATTATATTTAAATTCCATCATTCACATTGTTCAGGGACTTTCATGTGAGAATCAGATCGATTTCAAACTTACAGCTTTCTGTGAAGGGTCTGTATCCTCATTTCTGATTGAGGCTCTGAAGCCAGGATTCTAATCTGAGGTCACCCTGACTGGAATGGCTTTCTCCTGTAATCTCAGCATTTAAAAGTCTGAGAGAGAAGACAATTGCCATGGGTGCAAGGTCAGTCGAACTCTTTGGTGATTTTTGTGCTAGCCTGGCTGTAGAGTAAGACCTTGCCTTTAAAAGCTAAAAACCAAAACAAAAGCTGACAAAAATGTTCCCAGGCCCCAGGATGATCCACAAAACCCGAGGCATCTCACAGTACCATTCATGTAAGGTTAAGCCCTTCTGAAACAGGACTGCAAGGTCACAGGGATTCAAATGGCCAAGGCTCAGCTGGGCAGCATCAGAAGCCAGCCTGACTCATCTGCCCTCCCAGCACCGAGTGCTCACTTGGCGGTGGCAGCTTGGTGCTCTGCCTTCCCCGAGTAGCCCTGTGGCTTAGGATGCATCCCCCACACTAGAGGCCTAACTCCTTTTGCTCCTGTTGTCTGTCTCCAGGGATGACCTGGACCGAGCGATTGAGGAGTTTACCCTGTCCTGTGCTGGCTACTGTGTAGCTTCTTATGTCCTTGGTATCGGTGACAGGCACAGTGACAACATCATGGTGAAAAAAACTGGCCAGGTAAGCTGCCACAGAGGCTGTGGGCTGCAGTGATGGCAACTTGTGCTTTGTCTTTTCTTTCACCTTCCTACCAACCTCCCTTCAGAAACTACTTGCTTTTCCTGTTATTTGTCTGGAATTTGGTGGTAAGCATTTAGTTAAATGTCTAACCGTTGCTGTTATTTAAAAGTGGCTTGTCCTTTCATTGTGAGAGTTTCTGCTTGGGCCTGGTGTAATGGTTTGTACCTGTAATCACAGCACTCAGAAGACTGAGGCAAGAGAATTGCTTGTTTGAGACCCTGTCTCAAGCTCAGTAAGTGAAAAGTTCAGAAAATAACCAGTTTGGGGGCTTGAGAGATGGCTCAGCAGTTAAGAGTGCTGTTCTACCAGAGGACCCAGGTTCCTTTCCCAGCACCCAACCGGTGGCTCACAGCTGTCAGGAACTCCAGTTCCAGATTTGACATCTTCGGGTAGTGTGGACACCAGGCATGCATGCGCTGCACATACAACATATAGGCAAAACACTCTATACCAATGAAACAAAATAAATAAAACCTTTAAAAGGAAGTAACCAGTGCTGAAGAAAAGAAAACAATCAAGATGGAGTACCTTGAATCATTTCTTGTCTTTTTTCAATTTATTCTGTCTGTGGATATTTTGCCTGTATGTATGTTTGTGTACATGTGCATGTCCGGTGCCTATGGAAGGGGGAAGAGTGTGGCAGCTCCCCTGAGACTGGAGTTACAGAGATGCTTGAAAGAATTCGATTGGATCTAATGAAGGGACTTCTCACGAACATAGCCGCCTGCGTGCCAGAGTTCGGAATCAGAATGACTGAGTTATTCTTCCTTACGTTTTTGAATTGTATTTATTTTGCGTGGTGTGTTTGTGCCGCTGCACATCTGTGGAAGTGGGCGTCAGTTCAGAGTTTTTCAACAGCTGTGTTGGAAATTTCTTTAAAACAGTAAAAGTTAGTCTTCTGGACTTGCTTTGTAGACCAAGTTAGCCTGGAATTCTCAGAGATCCACGTGCCTCTACTCCACACCACCACGCCCAGCCCACAATGCTTTTTTTTTAAACTTAGAAGATAGGTGGTTCTAATCTTCTTCAGTAAGCAAGCAAGTATAAGATGTTCTTTTCAAATTACATCTATTTTGTGCATATGTTTGTGGGGAATCAAACTAAGGTCATCAGGCTTAGTAGCAAGCTCCTGGACCCACTGAGCCATCTCACCAGCCCTGGAATAGTTGTTTTTTTTTTTTTAAATGCAGGATCTTAACTGTGTAGCCCTGGCTGTTTTGTAACTCACTATGTATAGACGAGGCTGACCTCAGACTCACAGAAATCACCTACTTTTGTCTCCCAAGTGCTGGGGTTAAAGTGTATGCTATCACATCTGGCCCAGGAATAGACACTTTCAAACATTCAAGGTCTCAAGAGCTGGACCTCATCTGTACTGTTTCTGTTGTGCCTTTTTTAAACAGGTTTTCACTGGCCCCAACCTCTCATCCTCCCACTATGGCCTTCTGAGAAGTGACATTACAGACCCATGCCGCCATGTTTTCCTTTCTTTGCATCTTTTCTCGGGAGGCTGCCAGGGATATCCACCAAAACCAGTCTAAACCAGAAATTTTCAATTGAGTTGATACTCCCCTGAAATGTTTGCCATTTGCAGAGATACAGTTGCAGCTGTTGTAAGGAGGGGTGAGGCGTGGTGCTACAGCACCTAGGGTAGAGACCAGAGCCGCTAAGCACCCACAGTACCTCAGGTTGCGATCCTGTGTAGGCTGTGATCAGGTTAATGACTCAAGCGGGAGGATTGTTAAATTGGGCCTTAACACTACAGAAGTCATACCAAATTGAAATATTTGAAACTCACAAAAAATAAAATCTCATTTGTTTTACAGCTCTTCCACATAGATTTTGGACATATTCTTGGAAATTTCAAATCTAAATTTGGCATTAAAAGGGAACGAGTACCCTTTATTCTTACATATGACTTCATTCACGTTATTCAACAAGGAAAAACTGGAAACACAGAAAAATTTGGCAGGTGAGTACCACCCCTGTGTCAAGAAGTATCTACCAGTTCTCTGACCAGCGAGCTCACATTCCCCAACTGTTCAGTTACTTTCCTGTTGCTGTGATAAAATACCCCAACAAGAGCAGCTTAAAGGAGAAAGGGCTTATTTTAGTTCACAGTTTAGTTGTGGGGAAGTCAGAGTAGCAGGAGCTCGAGGAGGGAGTGGGTCACCTTGTGTCCACAGCCAAGGAGCAGAGAACAATGGGTGTTGCTGCCTAGTTCCCGTCCTCCCAAGTCCCACCAGGGACTGACAGCTCCTGCCCCCTCGGACTAAACACACTCAGAGTAATCCCCACAGGCAGCCCAGAGGCGAGCCTCCCTGCTGCCTCTGCATTCTGTAAGCAGACAGCTGACGCTGAGGACTGTTTTGATCTGGGAGATTCTTTGTTTGACAATAGAAGACCTGGACAGGGAGGAGTCGCCTGCCCCGTCCTTCACCAGTTCAGAAGTGACCAGGAGGGAGGTCCAGAGAATCAATGCTAGAAACCTGATAAGTCATTGTGTTTTCTTTTACTGTCTTTCTGTTTCAGAAATTTTTATCTCCAAACTACTAAGATATTTGACAGTAAGATGCTAGGAAAACAGGCATTTTACTGTCATTCTGTATGGGAACAGTAAAGGAGCCCGGGTTTGAAGTAGACATTATTGCTTGTATGTTCCCTAGCACTTGCCTCTGTTTCTTTATCTTAAAACGTGGACAAAAGGGGTTGAAGAGATGGCTCTGCAGATAATGCTGCTTGCCACCAAGCTTGGGCTTCTGAGTTTGATCCTCAGAATCCCACGGTGCAAAGAGAACCAATTCTCCATCCACACACATGCAGTAAATAAATAAATGTAAACAAAAGTTTTAATGTGGGCAAAAGTAATTAACTGGTGATTAGGGGTTATGTATGTGGACACTAGACTCCATGCTCAGTAAAGACTGAGAGTAACACTTCTAGTTTAGTAGGAATCAGGTTAGATAGCTCTTGACCACTAGGGTCTTAAAGGAGAGAAAGAGCCAAACAGACAGGGGTGCACATCATCAGCTGTGCCTTAGGGACTGAAAAGATTTAAGCTAGAGCCCAGAGAGTGTTTCGAATGCTCAGGAATTATAGCTGCCACTTGTTTAATGTTTTCATGTTTTGTGGTAAGTAAAAAGCCCAGATTGTTTCTTTGCCTATTACCATCGAATTTAAATTATTTTTTACTTGAAGAGAGAGACCTATGGTTTTCGGTAGCATGATTTCTTTAAGTAAATTGTAGTCTTCTTGGGACTGTTCTCAGAGGAGCACAAATGAGTTGAAGCTTAAGCTCTTGGCGATGCCCCAGCCCTAAAGATGTCTTCTTGTTTTCCTTTACAATGCCCCGTCTCCCTCCAACACCATGCTCCTGGGATGCTCCTTCAACTCAAGGTTTCGCCAGTGCTGTGAAGACGCTTATCTGATTTTACGGCGGCATGGGAATCTCTTCATCACTCTCTTTGCACTGATGTTGACTGCGGGGCTTCCTGAGCTCACATCAGTCAAAGACATACAGTATCTTAAGGTAAAAAGCCCCTTCTCTGTGTGCCTCCTGGACTTTGTGGGCACAGCTCAGTTAGAAGTCTACTCAGAATGTCTGAAGGGAGCTGGCGAGAAATGCCTGCTGCCAAGTCTGAAGATCCCAGTTCAGTCCCTAGAAAGAGAACTGACTCCCTAAGATCTCCTCTAACCTGCAGGCGTTTGCGCTCAAACACACACACACACACACACACAAACACACACACACACACTTGCATGGGCATGGGCCCAGCACACATGGGCATGCCCATGCATACAAAATAAGTGTAATAAAAATCTATAAAGAAGACTTCAGAGATGCCGACCTTTAGTCTTTTTTTTATTTTTTATTTTTAATAAAACATCCAGAGGAAGCAGAACAAAGTCATTTCCTCTGGTGTTTAGGCAAAGGAAGGGGAAGAGATCTGTGACATTGACATGAAGGAGCAGTTTCATAAGGAGTTTGTAACCTAGATGTCTCCACAGTAGAAGGGCATGCAGACATGCCACTTTGGTGTCCACCAATTTGCCTTTGACTTGGGTTAATGGACCTTTAGTCATCAGACCAGAAAAGCAAATTACTGAGAAAATTACTCAGAAATGGACTGGGTCTTGCAGCAATTACAAATTAATTTCATCCTCAAAAAGCCCTTGCTAAGGCCATATTGTCATCCTTCCTTTTTGTTCATCCTGCTCTGCAGATGACACTTACACAGAACTGGAAACTCTGTCTGACAGATGGGGAGGCCGGCCACAGCAGCCAGCCTCCTGTAGACTGACAGTTGCATGTCTCTGTGAAGGATGTGTGAAGACAAACGCTTCTCTTTCATTTTCAGGACTCTCTTGCCTTAGGGAAGAGTGAAGAAGAAGCACTCAAGCAGTTTAAACAGAAGTTTGATGAGGCACTCAGGGAAAGCTGGACTACTAAGGTGAACTGGATGGCTCACACAGTCCGGAAAGACTACAGGTCTTAGCACCAGCCTCCGCCGTCTCCCGACGGACTTGTCCGTTTGTTCCTTTCCATTTTGCACTTGCACTAAATTGAACATGACCCTGTCAGAAATGCAAAGGGAATGAAATCCTGAAGCTCAGAGTGAAATCAAGAACGAGGCGTCCCACAGAGCCGAATCTGAACCACCCTGATGGTCACCCTCTGTTTCTGAAATGCTTCCAGGACTCATCATGAATATTCCCAACAGCATGGAGGACCCTTTCCTGCTGACCTTGCACGTCGAGGAATGCTACTAGGGACTGTTTGGGATCTCCTCCTCTTCCTCCTCTTTCTCCTCCTCCTCCTCCTCCTCCTCCTCCTCCTCCTCTTCTACTTCAGTATTTGGTACTTTACCAGAGAGGTGTAAATACTTCTTTTCAGTATTGTGACCAAGTGCTGCCACTCAGCCAACAAGTTATCACATTTGGGGGCTGGGAGCTCTTCTGATTGTCCAAACGAGCCTTCAAAGAAAGGTATCATCTCCCTTCCCTTTTTAAATTGTGTAAGCTACAATTTACATTGATTATGTTGAACTTATTATTTTTCAAAGGAAATATTTTAAACTTGTGAAAACTCACTAATTTTGTTAATATTTATCTATCATGATAGCATCATTTCAGTCAGACTTGCTGAGAATCTATTGGTGGGGCAAATATAATATATATATATGCTGCATATATATTTATAAAATTTCTAGTGGGAGTTCTATATAAAAAGATGTTTCTTTGGTGTTCCTCATCCTGTGTTTAAAGTTTTACAAAAGCAGAGCTTTTTCCTAAGTTACTCTTCAGTTAACTGCGGATCCAGTTCTTCCAGCTGCTTCTGTACTGAGGCACATATGAATGCAGTTTGTCTGTGCAGCTCTGAGAGTTCACTTCATAGAACACAATACGTGAGCAGATGTATCCAAGGAAGTGAGCAGATGAAAAGGAATCTATTTATGGAATAAACTCCAAACCTAAATTTCAGTATTTTAATAATATGCCAGCTGTTCTTACTGTATTTATTAAAATGTATAATAATGTGATTTTTTTTCAATGATATTAGTTCAGATTGAAATGGATTCATGTCACGTGGAAATCTTTAATTTATTTGTTGAGGTACCATATAGTTAGGGTGCTAGCTGAAGAGTGATGCTGACATGTGCAATAGGAACTACTGGCTGGTCGGTAAATGGATGCTCTTTCCAAGCACTGTCAAGATCCAGCGGAACTACTGCTTCTCCAAAGAAAACTGGGAGCCCTCAGTCCTCAGTGGCATGGGAAAGACAACTGAGTACTAGCCCTGTGACTGCAGTTTTCTATAGGAATTTTATTAAAGATTGTTTAATTTTGTTGTCCTTCTTAAATGTTCTCAGTCAAATAAATGGGTGGTTTCGGTTGTTTGGGGACATGTGGGCCTCTTCTTTGTGGGAAACACAGAGTCTTTGGAACCTGGGACTGTCCCAGAGTGGCCACGCCAGTGGACAAACCAGCCTCAGGAGTGGGCTGAGGCTCCACCTCTGCCCAGCTTCCCCTTGCTTTCTAGCTTCACCATGGACAGTCTGGAAGGCCTCTTGGACTGATGAGAGCCTAAGTTTGCTCTTATTACCTCATCTCCCCTACCTCCGCTGTACTGCGGTCATGTGCACATGTGCGTGGGAAAGCCAGGCTGGTGTGGCTCAGTACAGAGATGGTGGCAGCACTCCATCCATACTCGCTGCATTGCTTGTCTCTGGCTGAGAAGAGAAGATGGAAGGCAGAAAGCCAGCCGCCTTTAGAATGAGTTAACACTCTAGGCTATACATCCGTCTGCTTGAACAGGGCCTGGTTAACAGTGCCTTGACTTTGAGCAAGCTGTATTTCACATTTCTCTTCATGCTTGGATACCAGGCCTGCTACATAACACCTTTTCTCTCTATGGCTCTGAGCCGAAGGCCCAGCCTCCTTCCTGGTTGGCTTGAGGACTTGGTGACAGTATTTGGAGTGTGTTAGGCTAGAGTTAAAACAGACTGCCAGGCAGCACAGCTCTGCAGATCATCCAGTCACATTGTGGACAGTGATTATTCTTTGTCCCTGGGTGTGTGTTCCTTTGTCTCACTGTAATTTATTCAGGTTAGTCAGATAGGAGCCCAGGCATTGCGTATCTGTAATCCCAACACTCAGGACAAGCTACGGTGAATTTGAGGTCAGCCTGAGCTATGTGAGACTCTGACTCGAACCATCAAGTAGAAATGGTTTTTAGTATTTTCTAAACTACTTTTCAGAAATATGTATATTCCTGCCATCCTTCCTGCCCACAAGCTATTTCCTATTCCCTTCAGTGACTGAGGCACTTATTTCTTCTTTGGCTCAGCAGGCCCTCTTAAAGCAGCATTAGGTTTTTAGGATGTGTTATTTACATCTACCTTGACCAGCTCCTGTTTTGTCCCCTTGGGCCATACTTAAAACGAGGCACTTGTGCCACAACCTCTTCCAGTGGGTTAAGAAGGCATTCTTGGAAAATGCCTCTGTAAACCTGGGCTGTGGACAGGCCTATAGGGCACATTTAGGTTTTTCGAGACAAGGTTTCTCTGTGCATCTCTGGCTGTCCTGGAACTTTCTCTATAGGCCAGGCTGGCCTCGAACTCAGAGGTCCACCTGCCTCTGTCTCCTGAGTGCTGGGATTAAAGGCGTGCACCATCACTGTCCAGCTCTGTAGGGCATCTTGATTAGTGATTGATGTGGAAGGGCCCAGACCATGTTGGGTGGTGCCACCCCTGGGATGGTGGTCCTGGGTGCTATAGGAAAGTAGACTGAGCAAGCTAGTAAGCAGCACTCCTTCATGGCTTCTGCTTCAGTTCCTTGGGGTTTCTGCCCTGACTTCCTGCTGTGACAGACTGTGATTTGGAACTGTAAGCTGAAATAAACTCTTTCCTCCCCCAAGTTACTTTTGGTCATGGTGTTTTATCCCAGCAATAGAAGGTATGAGGAGAAAATTATATCCACTTATACCACCAACTGAAGTTGGAATAATGTGATTTTAAAACCCACTTAATAAACTGGAATACACTATTGTTCATTCCTGAAGGGATTTTAGATTTTGGAGTTGAGCCACCCGGTTTAGAAGGATGCCGCTTCTCCAGTCTCCAGGTTTCTCTGGAATAATATCTTATTTTCAGTATCTTAGAAAACTTACCTCAAGGTCACCTGGCTGGTGTCCACTTCCCTGTGCCCTCCTAATGTTACCTACCATTCTGAGTAAGTCAAAGCATCACCAAGTCTTCATTAAACAGTATAAAAGATGTGAATGACTTAGACGTTTGATCTTTTTTCTATTTCCCAGAATGTGATCAGGGAAAGACTTAAATACTGTGCGCCGCATTGATAGCCGGTAGCATTCTTGTTTCCTTGGGTAGGAGGTGGTTCCCTGGGTCCATCATAGTCTCCCATCTGTCTACGGACTCATCTTAAGAATTCTACCCAAGTTAAATTAGAACGGCTTGGAGTGTGGCTCTGCCATTGGTCTTTAAATAATGTGTTCTCCATGTAACACTTTATTTGTGCAACCATTATTGCAGCTGAATTAATCTTCCTGATTTCCCTTGTCCTTTCTGGTCCAATAAAAAGGATTTTCTAACACACACACACACACACACACACACACACACACACACACGGTTTCTCTATATAGCCCTGGCTGTCCTGGAACACTCTGTAGACCAGGCTGGGCTTGAACTCAGAAATCCACCTGCCTCTGTCTCCCGAAGTACTGGGGTTAAAGTGTCTGCCACCACTGCCAGGCCTAATATTTTAATCACTAGCTGTGCTCGAGTCTGTCTCTTAATTTGATAGCAATCCTCCCAAGTTATAGAGGCCATTTCTAAATAACTCACCTAGATGGTGTCTTCTCCTGTTCCAGGTCTTACCTGCTGTTCCACGGGTGCCACCTTTCCCAGTGCAGCCCTGAGTTTCTCTGCAGTTAAGTGGACACTGTCCAGAGGGAACAACTCAGGATGAACAGCAGATGACAGAATTGATGCTGAGGGCCAGCCTAACCTGCAAGATCTTCCAGTACTCACCCCTCCCACCTTGCACCCTGATACCTTCAGTCATCCCTGCATATCCCAAATTTTAAATCTCACTGGTTTGTGCTGACCAGCTTCACTGGTAGAATAATCTTCAAAACAACAGAAAATCCCAAGTCCCAGCTCCAAGTCTGAGATCCTTACTAGAGAAAAGTCACACCCAATCTGCTTCAGCTTACCTGCCTTGGAGAGAAGATTGCTGGTGCCTGATTCGCTTGCCCCCTAAAGCCCCAGACAAGGCTCTGCAGTGAGCATCAGAAAGGTGGGACACATGGCTGGAGATGACCACCCAGTCAGGTTAGTGGGGAGAGCTGTGTGGGTGCAGCCACGTGGTTTGCAGCCAGTTTCTGGAGGGAAGGCGGGCCCCAGGAGAGGACAAGGGGCACAAACTCCGCACAACTGAACTGATGAGGTCGGGGAACCCGGCTAAAGTCTCTCCAAGATTTCCACTACCTAGCCCCCAGCTGTGCCAGGTTGCCCTGGTAACCTCACGTGGGGGCGGGGCTGGCACAGGGGCCAGTTGCACCTGCCTTGTTGGATTCCTAGGGAAGCTGGGGACCCAGAGCAACAGCTGAGCTTCTGTCCACTCTCCATCCACCACGGTGCTTCTGCTGGGCTTCCAACCCTCCTATGCAGTGAATAGGGGCCATTAGATCCCAGCTCTGTGGGGCCGTCCAGGAGGCGAATGGGAGAGGATGGGGAGGGGGGAGCTGGGAGTGGAAGGAGCCTCTGCAAGGAGCCACCCTGGCTGCAGGGTGAAAGCTGGGACGTGAACTCTGAGGTGTGGTAGGGGGTTTGGGGAGCTCAGGGCATGTATGTGAGCCTCTTGCTTTTTCCCAGAGCATTGACACCCGGAGTACAAAATGTGATTTGTCTGTCCCTGCCTTGTCACAGGTCAGCCTGTGGGTCAGCTGCTCCTTAGCGTCTGTCCAGAGATTTGAAATGCTTGTCCAGGTGCAGACTGACTGACAGAAGTTATTCACTGGCACCCAGCTGCTCCGAGCCGTGGATGGCCCAGGCTGCCTTAGGAGACATATTCTTTGGTTTAGAGGCCATCCACAGCCAGGATCGCTCACTAAACGCAAAGCAAAACATCCAAGTCATGTTGTTTCTTATAGGCCCAGAGCAGATTGCAAAAGGGGACTCGGCCCTCTGCTTCGAGTCATAATGCATTGGCTGATTCCCCACTCCTACCCACCCCAAGACAGAGTCTGTGTGTGTGTGTAGTCCCGGTGTCCTGGATCTCAATTTGTAGACCAGGCTGGCCTCAAACTCACAGAAATCCACCTGCCTCTGCCCCCCAAGTGCTGGGATTAGAGGCATTCACCCAGCATTTAAAACAAACAAACAAACAAACAAACAAACAAAAAAATGAGACAGAATGACTTGATGATTCCTAAAGGACACACCAAATACCCTGTGTTGCTTTGCCTTTCTCTGGCAGTGGTGGGGGCAGGGGGCATTTTGAAAATGCAAGAACCTGTCAAATGTGTAGCGCATACCTGTAATCCCAGTACTTAAGATGAGGCAGGACAACGACATGTCTGTGGGTGACCTAGGCTAGACAGGGGCCCCCTGCTATTAAATACCGTGTTCTGAGTCCTGATGCCCTTTCTGTGGGGGGTGGCGCTGCTTCCATTGAAACCCCTTGTTACACTTTTTGGCTGCCACAGATGCAAACGTAACCCATGAGCCGGTGCTCTATTCGAAGCCTCTTCTTCATCTGAGTCTGTAATGGCTGCTCCCACCTTCTTGATCCATTTTAAGCTTGGCTGAAATTTCCAGAGTCAAGTTTCCTGAACAGATAAAAGGACAGTTATGAGTTTCCATGGACCATCATCAATGAAGCCGGGTTTGAGAACATACTGTGTTCTCTGGGTGTCTGGGGTGGACAAATCTAAAGCAGAAATTTGTAAGTCACCTACAATGATAATTGTAGGTGACTTACAAAAAATAATAGGTGCCCTGGATAATTGCTTGGATTTAAGGTTGTGTTGCTGTTTTTTTTTTGTTGTTGTTGTTGTTTTGTTTTTATTTTTGTTTTTGTTTTTTTCTGGAAAAAAGACCTTCCATTTTGATAGGCACAACCTTAACCAAGGGCACTCTGATACTCTCTGCTCAACAGTTCTTCCACTCTTTGGAATCTAATACTCACCCCGTCCACTCCTGTGATGAGCCCACTGTGGTCACATCCAATAAACGAACCACACTTCCAACCTCTTGATTTCATCATGCGTAAATGGCCCTGACAACCCTCAATTTGCCTTTTCCAGCTTTGACCATTCTGCCATTTCTCTGAACTCTTGACATGGGGACCAGGGAAGGGTTCTTTTCCAG